TCCTCAGCGGGGCAGTGATCAGCTTGCGCACAGGCGAGTTCTCCAGCCGCCGGAAGGTCCTCGTGGCTGGAACGAAGGAAAAACTCCCGTTAACGAGCCCTACGGGGGCTTCCACACCGCCCCTGCAAGGGACTCCCGCTTACCGAGCTGCTCCGACAGGCCCCGGAGGTACTGCCGGCTGTCCTCGCTGAAGGCCTCCAGCAGCTTCACCGCCTGCTGCAGTTCGTCGAGCTGCAAAACCCAAAGCACCAGAAAAAAAAAAAAAAAATCACTAAATTCTTACCCAAGGTATAACATTTTTCCCCTCAACCAGCTGAAAGCAACTCACCACAAGCTCCATACAGCTCAAGACCTCCCCCTGGTCATCCAGGACCTTCTGGTAATTGGGTTTGCTGCAGAGGACTTGGGCCTGAGATGTCTGGAGGTAATTCGGAGGCTCTGCCTGTCCTTGGTTCCTCCTGCATTCCTCCAGCTGCCTGCAAAACAAGTCACTTATCTGTTAGGCATCATTTGAAGCAGGCTTTGACCCTTCCTTTTCACATCTTACAGCTGGTACTGAAGCAGTAACAATCCGCACCTGGACATTTCTTCAGCACCTTCTTTGTAGCGCAGCAAGAGCTGATCCCAGGACTGACATTCGGCAGCAAACCTGCGGAGCGAGAGGAGAGCAGGTCTGTACCCCCGAGCATCCGTCCGTAAAAGCTAAACTACAGTGCAGACTCATAGAAAAAAACAGCTAAAGGATTAAATACACCCAGAATACCCTCTAGGAAGAGGCGTCCAAACCCATATTGGTGTTGAGTCTCGGACCACACACGCAGTCAATCTTACCTGGCCATGTACTCCTTAACTTGGGCCACCGACTCATCCAAAGCAGAGTCCAGTAAAACCCTAAAGCACAGGATATCATCAGCATGATATAGGGGAATGCTTAGAATTGCAGAGTACAAAAGAGAAAAGTCTCCTTGATCTCCTCAATAAAGATAATGCACCTCCCAATAATCACTGGAGAACCAGCACAGTGAAATCGTCCCCAAAAATCCTTATACCCACAGGCAACGCGTCTACTCTTTGCAAGTTTAGATGACTGGGGCAGGCCATAAAGCAAATCCCAAATAATAACAACTACTTTATTATTATAAAACTCCACAGGGGATGAGCATGGAGAGTCCTTACCCTTTAGGGTCTTCCACGCAGCTCTTTAGTGTTCCGTCTCGTTTCAACTTCTGCATGTATCGCTTCAGGTCTTCTGAAACCGAGTGCACTGGAGGCGAAGACAAAAGAAAACAGGATAAAACAACGCTTGTACCCACTGTTTATTAGTATTTTTATAGGCAAAGCTGTTTCCTAACCTGCAGATACGGCTCTGATTCCCTGTCAGAAGGCATTCTAGTTCTTCCTTACGTTGTTTCTAAAGGCCACTCATTGCTGTGGCCATGGTTTACTTCAGCATGTCCTTTCACCTTCCCTCCCAGAAACTGCCATCATGCAGAGCATCTTAAGAACATCCTTCCCATATTTTTGGCTGCACCCACGCCCTTTTGGAAGACAGCTGATTTCAGTTTGAGAGCATGCTAGGGAAGGGTCAGTATTTTTATGTTCAGGATTCCCCTCGCTTGGCGATGCATGTATCACACCATACCGTTAGCTTTGAAAGCCTCAGGGCTAAAGCCGTCAGTCTGCTTCAAGATGTGTTCGAGCTTCTGTGCAGAAAACTAAGAAAAGATAGAAAAGAACATCTTGGCTGGATGCAACAACCCAAAACATCAGCACATTATCAACAGTTTCTCATCCGAAATCCAAAACCACACTAGCTTCTGTGAAGAAAACCAGCTCTATCCTGGCTGAAACCAGGACATGGGTACACATTCCCAAGTTGTATGACAAAGCTTGTGAGAGGATTCGTTACTGAAGGAGAAAGTTCTTCTCCCCCCCGGCCCATATTTCACAACTGTTATACAAATCAGAGCATACAATTAGTGCCAGAAGAAAGGTAAAAGAAAAATAATTCACTTCTGAGAGAGAGGACCTTACCTGGAAACTGGATAACAACAGCACAGAAAGCCGGTCTGTCTCTGGCAGATCCAGGCTAATTGATTTGCTTAATTCTGAAAAATCAGGAACAAAATGATGTAAGAACAATTAAATTCACATCAAGCTGCAAAGGGCTGAAATGTTCCTTAAAGACACTAAAACCTGTTGTATAGGAGTGCGGTTTGCAGGATATGAAAGAAGCAGGGAGAAGAGAGAAACAGAATTCCTAACAAGGAAAAGTCACACTTCAGGCTCAGCCACAAGAAGTAAAAAGGCAGAGACTGCAACCCAATGGTCAACAGAAGCCATTAATACAGCACCTCCTTTTCTCCTCAGGCACCCGGACCTCCAAGACCACTGCCAACACTGATGTCAGTGGCTGCTAGTTAGGAATAACGCCGTTAGACTGTAGTCACCCTAAAGGTTGTGCCATGAAATCAAATTTCAGCTTGCTGCAGGCTGCCCTACAAGTTTTGAGAGCGAGCTTGACAAAGGGAAGAAGTGGGGCATGTACCAGTGATATCTTGGTGAACAGGAGGCAGAGATTTTCGGCGTTTTGTCCCCTTCAGGCTCGAACGACACCAAGAACGACGCTTGGCTTGCGGAGTGGTGATGAGTGGTTTGGGGGACAAGTTAAAGGAACTAAATGTATGGTCTTTCCTGGGACTGCTCCTCCAGGGAGACAGCCTCTTGGGACTAGGTCCGAGGGGGCTTTTCCTGAGGCTAGGACTTCCATGGGATCTTTTCCTCACAGCTGCTCCAGTCCTCTCACAGGGACTGATGTTCTTCTTGCTAACAGCAGTTACGTCAGGTGGCTTTAGGAATTGCTCAGGAGCTGCTTTTTTTTCTCCAGGGTCAGGATCTGAGAAAAACAGACACCATCAACCCATTAGCAGGGTAGAAAGACAGGAACGGGTCTTTCCCTGTTCTTTGCGCTTTGCTTCCTAGCTCAGAGCAACAGCAGCGCCGAGGTGCGATGGCTGGGTCACCCCTCCAGCCTCCCCAGACCGGCGGTGC